TCGTGGTGTACGCGCACATGGCGTTGGTACATCATTATGATGATGATGATGTATTGTAATATATTACGTGCACCTAACCTATAACCGTTATGCTGCAGCGGGTGGCCAGTTACCAGCTATATCATATAGAAATATAAAATATGCGAGCGCGTGTGTTTGATCTGAAATTTCGTGAGCCATATATTCATACTGATTTGTTGTTTTGTTTTTGCATCCTATACTCTTATTATTGTTACTTTTATATGGTATATATATAGGCATATGTACGTTGTATATTTGTGTTTTATTGCATTTGCATAACATACATTTACTCCTGCGGAACAACAAGAAAATATTCAAACAAACAGTACACTTTTCGAACAACATAATATACAATATACATATACATCTGGTCCCTGGTGTCTAGTGTCTACTGTCTAGGTAGGTAGGTACCAATCATAATACTTTGCTTGTATTATGCTTTTAATCGGTCTGCATACATATAGACATTACATATAGTCGTCACCGCCACCGATCCCCTTAACTAATTTTTAAATTTTATTACAACTCAAAAATCTTTTTATTCAACTCATTCCATAAAATATTGAACAAAAATTGTAGTTTTTAAATTGTTTTAAGAATCTTCCTGTTTGATAGAACAGCGTAGGTATACTGTTCTATAATTCCATGCTTTTCACTTAAAAGAACAAGCAGGGGTACGCTAATAGAAATCTCGACTTTTTCTAAGATATAGTTATGGTACTCAGCCCCTCCAGTCACCACCCACTCACCAAGTCAAGCACTGTATGTAGAGTATTTTTTTTATTATTTCTTTTGTTTAATGAATAATATAATACTACCGCATCATCGACTTAGCACTGCAAATCCACTTTGTGAGAAACGTCGTGTCATCGTAACTTAATGAATGAGATAAGCAGTAAGAATGTATAAGAACATTTTATGCGAAGTCAACCGATTAAAGTTAGCTCGTTGCACTAAAGTTGAGTTGGGACGAGATGTATAGCGTGTGAGCCGATGAAGCGAGGAGGATGTACCCAGGTACGCACGTTTTCTATTTTTCTCGATTATTCAATTTTCCAACACCAGTGACCAGTGTCTGCTTGTAGTGGTGCAACCATGGACCATGGTGTATTATGTAAGGAGGGGGTTAAATCAAGAAATGTATATTTTTGAATTTAAATGTCATTATGTTCAATAATTATGATAAATGATAATACATACATTTTTTTCTATTGCATAGGTTAGTCAAATAAAACAATTAAAACATTTTTGTTTCTTAACGAAATATTATTCTGTAAGAGTGGGGGTGGATCCGGAGACCTGCTCATTCATCGGTGTGTCACTATCTGTTAAAGAGTGTTTTAAGTTATCAGCAATTTCTTACTTTTAATTTGTTTTTCAATAGATTTGCAGTGCTTTTCAAATACCCTATGGCTCTTTGTCATCAACCTTTGTTGAGTATTTGAGTTGAAATAAATATTTGAACTAAAAAGTTATAATAATACTCGCAGATGTAACTATTATACTATCTTAATTTATGTACCTATCTAGGTACCTATATATCCTCATAATTGTTTGTGTACTTTTATAGAATTGACAACAAAGTAAGTAGATATATATATATATAGATTCAATTCAAACAGTATAAAATAATAAGTAATAAATAATATTTACTTAAATAGTTTTACAATTTCATAAAACTTGTTATTAATTGAGCTAATAATCAAGTTGCTATTTTTCAGTTTAGGTTTTAAAAATGAATAACGTTATTTATTTAGAGATTAAATTAATTTTTAATTATTATAATTTTTTCACAATAAATTGAATGATCTAATGAAAAAAATTGTGGACTACTGAACACTGATTCAGTGATACAATTAGATAAAGTTGGGTCACAAATTCTCAAAAAAAATAACACAGAGTAACCATTTCTCAATTTGTGTTCATTGCAAAAGTGTTAAATAAATTATTTTTGGGTTAACTTACAACAATAAAAGGTTATCCTCATAAACAACGTTCATATAATTATATAAATATTCAATGTATAATCAACTAGAACGTACCAAAAACCTGCAAAATAGTATTAGGTACGTTAGTGTTTATGACTCAAATTCTTTCAATCTTACGTTTTAAATTGCTTCTTACTACTTCTCTATAATAATTGTTTAGTGTAATTGTTCGAAATATTAAAATTTTATCTCATAATCAAAATATTTAAGAAACATATTTTATTTGTACATCTGAAGTCCTAAAATGAGTATCACCAGATTTTAAAGTTCGAAATTCTATACATTTTAAATTGTCTATATTTATAGTTTATACATTGTTTACTTTGACGAAAAAAACTTCGAAAAACACTAAAAACACTAGAAACACTTGAACATCCATACTGATATTTTTGTAGGTACCTAAAGTCAGTAATTTGGCACTGTTTAAAAGTATTCGTATTATCGATTTACCTATCTGCAATATACGACAATTATTTTTGATACATTATAAGTTATAACCCTATAAAATAAATATTATTTATGAGTCGCAGGTAAAATGTATTTTAAAAGTGTGCAAACGAGTTGCGGGTACAAAAAAAGAGTTACACGGAATATTTATTAACCATTTGTTTATTGATTTAAGATGGTAAACGTCCGTTTTGAACCATGATTGTACTTTAGGAAAACAAATGGTCAGGGGGTTTCCGTAATAATAAAACAACAACCACAACAACAACAACAACAACAACAACAACAACAATAATAATACTACTATACTAACAATAATAATAACAATAACATATAAAATATTATGAAATATTAATATATCTATACTATGCAATGTAATATATTTTAAAACCTGAACCTACATACCTATATCAACTAATAATTATTACATACAAGTGGTGAACCAAATTTGATGAATAAAGTTTTAAGGTAAACGACCGATCGTTTGAGAAGGAATAATGCGTAGGTGGGTACGTACCTATGTACATAATGTATATGTCATACATGTGTATTGTGCGTGGGTATAAGTATAATAATACGTGTAATATATTATATTTATGTATAAACTTGTGCAGTTGTGCTGCATAGGAGGTGAATTTGTACGGTTGACTCTCGGGTTTCATCCACGCGCATTTCGAATATAAATTTTTTATGCATAATAATGAATTTACGGGTGGAAAAAATTGAGACAATTTATATAGGATGTAATACGCCTACATTATACTCACGTGCAAGGAAGCTCCGAGGCAATTGCAGTATAATGTATGTCTTAGAGTTTTATGTGTGTATAATAATATAGTCTTTGCCACCGTGTAGTATACTGCAGTGTTTCCGGGTTTATATCGGTATATTATGTAACATGTGGGGGATTGGGGATTTACACATTCTACACTGCAGTCATCAATCTTCATAATATTATTAATATAAAACATGAAATAAAACCATATGACGACATATATTTTGTAAAAATCTGAATCATATAGTAGGCACATAATTTTTTTTTGCATAATTACAGTCGATGGGTATGTCTCAACATTCAAAACATACCCTAATTAACTCCACGCCACATCGTCTTACTGTACAGCTTATAATACAATAATTATTTTATTGATAAGTCCTTAAAATTATATTTTAATGAAAAATGGATTTCCCCTAGTGGTCTAGTAGACTTTTCATCCCCCTAAATCCTTAATTTGATATGTCACACTGTCACACGCGATGTTTCATATATTTTCTGATGACGGGCTTCATGCCGCGTAACACCGACATTTGAAAATCTAAAACATCGCATGTGACAGCATGTGACACATCAAAATAGGGGTTTCGAGGACGAAAATCCTGGATTGAGATATGTATAAAGTTAAACGAAAAAACTGTATACTGCAAGTCCTGCATCATTCGTGAAAGTGAAACGCAAAATAGGTTTTCGATTCTATTCAACCACGTGCAAGAGGGCATTGTCAAAGTTTTGTCAGGAAAACTCTCAAACACATTGAAACACCATAAATACCTATACAATATTAGTGTATCCATATAAGTATTAAATATTAAGTATACATGACGAAGTTATGCTATTGCAGTATTGTTTATACCTGTATGAGCATTATATAATATTGGCTATTGTGTTTGTTCCGATGCGTGTACACATATTATTATAATATGTATCCACAATAAGTTCGGTTGTCCACATATGATAACATAACGATACTTCCGTACACTTAACAACAAAGTTTCTCGGGTAACGGACGGCGGCGACAGGGTTCGAGAAAAAAAAATCGTCAAACCGAGAATTTTCGTCCCCCTTACACCCGCCGTTCACATCGTCCGGCCTTTGTATTATAATCGCATTTACTCGGTTCGTGTGCGCAAACCACACTATATGTACTCGCTGCGGTATAATAATAAATTCACGTCACGAATATATGTATATTGTATACATATTATATTACAGTATTTCCCGTATATGTGCGTACTGCAGAGTATACATATAGATTATGTACCTATATATATGCAGAAAACAGTCGACCTAAACACATTTTTTAAATTCTCCGAGAAAACAAAAGACGGTGTCGTCTCTTTCTCCCTCGTCACCCTCGCTACAGCTCTTACTCACTCTCACCGCTGCAGCCTTTCTCTGCGCGGGGAATGATTATCCTCATATTTTGTCCGCGGTCTGTGTGGTAAAGATCTTTTTACACTTGACGACAACCCACGCCTCTGACTGCCACAAAAAGCGTTTGTTTGACCAGTGCATACACACACACATACACACACACACACGTATATTATATATAGACTGAAAGAAGCTGCGGCCTGCAAGTACAATAGAAACCAGTTATAAAAACGCCGAGGGACCAGTAAAAAAATATTTGCACTTTATCTGATGACTGTTCGAACGTACGATACTAAATAATAAATAATAATATTCAACATAATGATACACCGAAGATAGTATTTTAATAATTATAATAATAAACAAAAATGTTAACTACTAAATTTAAGTATAAAAGTAGTTTGGTATACTAAATATTATAATAATTCAGATACTGGCTTTTTTTTTTTTTAATTGTAACTTTAGTAATTGCTTTGATTTGTTGTTAGATCGAATTGTACAATAATGAGTTCATTATAAGTTATAAATTATTATGTGTACTTATACATTAAGCAGCTATAATTTTAAAACACATTTCATAGTAAGTATAAGTATTTACAATACACGTTTATCTACACGAGATAACAATGAATAATAATAGCATGCTATTTTTTGCAAAAAAATAATACTAACAAATATCAGTAGACACGTGTTTGTGAATTGAAAGACACAAATCCATTGGTTCGCTCGTTGATACGACGTGTTCGTCAGCGGAACAGGACGTCTCGCGAGAACACTTGGAAGTGGTGAGGCACCAGAACGGGAGGGCCCGGATCGTCGGCGGACGGCCACCTGAGCGTCGAGTACATCTTGACGGTGGACCGGTGCCGAGGCAGGACGGTCGTCAGAAGTACGCAATCGACGGTTACCCGGGCCCGCGGGTCAGTGAACCCATGAAGATGACAAGCGCGCGTCTCGCTGTCGTTGTGCACTGTGCCTAAGGTGTACGTGTAGCCGTTGGCCGGTGGTTTCGCCGCCCATGGCTCCGACGACAGTTCTTCCACCGTCCGCGACACGTACGCCGCTTCGAGCGCGTAGTACTCACTGTCGGCCTCGTACGCCGATGGCAAGGTCATCAGACGGACTTGCATCCGCTTGGATTCGACCACCACAGCCGTGGCCGCTTCACCACCGTTTTCCGACCACCGACGTAGAAGTAACCGCAGTCGTAGTCGCTGCATCATCTCGGCCGTCGGAGCAATCTGTTCGGCCAGACATCTTTGGACGTCGGAGGCCACCGCGTCACTGTCCACCGACTCCGCCGGCGCCGCAGACGTTGGTCGTACGTCTTCGAACAGCGATCGCAAAACGTTTTCGCACATCGGCCAATCGCAGTCGACGTCATCGTCGTGGTCCAGACCCTCAGCAGCAGGTCGCTGCATCGTGTTTCGAGCCGCCGACGGGTTCCTGCAGCAAATGACAAACAATTTTTGTTATTTTGAAAAATTTACCATGTCTATTGGACAATACAATGAGTAAAAAAGATGATTGACAGAACACGTATGTAATAAAAAAACAAAAACAGCACATGAAGCACATGATGGGGGAAATCATCCAACGATGGTACCCTCTGGTAATTTTGTTTTATTCGTATTGATTTAATAGGCCACGACACCAGTTCCTCTCGAGGGTTGTCAGGAAGAGCATGTGATGATAGGGGGACACTAGAGGATTGGGATGGTGTTGTAGCTTAGAGTGAAATCTGTTATATACTATAATTTAACTAGTAGGTCAACTGTTGCAATTTTTAAATTTGTATGTAGTATTTTATCTGTTACGTACCAGGGGACTGAGGCTATTAATTGAAGAGAGATGGACTGGTAGGTTTGGATGGTGCAGATTTGGGATGGTCTGAGGCATCCCTAGAAAACAATTTTAAACATTTTTTTTCGCTACTGTCTCACATGAATGAATTAAAAAAAATGTTCAAGGCGTATGCGAGTTGTTTGATTTATTGTAACGCAATCTTAGATTTATTAAGATAATATTAAGTACTATATTATTATAATAGGTACGAGGTATGGCTATATATTACTTACAGTCATACTAGGTGAGTACATATATTAATCTGTATAATATGTTTCAGTGTAGTCAAATCAAACTCAGTTTAAAGTGCTTATAGCGAAATTTACTTCCTCTTAGTCAATGCTAGTCAAATAGGTAAGTACCTTATTTGTTATTAAAACATTTTGCGTGTATCGTGATTGTGGGTGCAAATTAATATAAATAATATATGAACCATAAATAATAAATACTTTTGACCGCTAATATATAGTGGGTGGAATTCATAATTGTATTCCCATTCGTCGGGTGAAATGTATATATTTATACGTATTATAAATATATTTTCACTTTCTGCAGTATGCATCATCGCGTAAGACAGAAAGACCTAAGTAAACAATTCTACAACCAAAGGTTAATATTAAATTTTATCAAAGCCCCAAGGTAAAGTGGATATAATGATATTTCAGTTTAGAAAAATGTAACATAATTCAAGATATCTCAAAATATGCCCTATAGCAGCTGTTGTGTATATTGTACACAGGTATTATGTATAATGTCATTATCACTATACCTTTATACTCGTGTATAAAAACCAATATGTATATTAGGTATATGATGGCTTTGCATTTTTTGTCTCATCCCTGAAAAAACACCCTAAATCCGGTACCGAGGATTACACGTATACATAGAATGTAAAGCCGTGTACCTTTCAATACTTGTTATCTATGGTTTTAAACGAACCCCATGCATATTATATATTATGAATGTATTACAGGTCGTGTACATACTCGTATGAGGAGTGAGAACAGTTACGGTAAGCTTTTCGGGCTTTTGTCGAGTTGATTTTTAATGATTTGCTAGTGCCTACGAAAACAATACTATGGTGATGTTTAGGATTATAATTTATTCGTATTTTGAACTCATAGCACTCCTATATTTAATTAAAAATATTTTCTCTTATATTAGCTAGACGCGATCCATAAGTGGATACATTGTAATTATTTCATTTCTTTAATTACCTACTGGATAATTATCTTATTTTTTTCTCCAAATTTTATATACCATTGCCGGATTCATTTCTTCGATGATGGGAATGCCGAATATAATAAGGAGTTTACGCTCTATTGTAAACCGTAATAAATATATATATATAGAATATGAGTGTACAATAATAATAAACGGTATTCTCGGGGTGTAAAAATGTACACGATACCGTGCGATAGACCGCGCCCATCGAATAAGTATGGCTCGCAATTTTTGCTCGGTATTCGCGGTTTATATGGTTATATTATATAGGTTTCCAAATTCTTAAGATGTATATATCGCATACGACGAACTCGGCGAACCTATATAATTCCTCCAACCATCGAGCACACGCCAGGGCAGATCGCCTAATAAATCGATTACTTTGGTTACCTATATACCATAGGGTGTACCACAAAGTTCTGACATATGGTCCATTATATGACGTCCATATGGTATATATGTCAGAACTTCGTGATACACCTATATATAGGTACAACAGCGTATATTATGGTTATTTTGAAGACGATCGTTTTTAGGCGTTACGGCGGTAATATTGTATAATGATTAAATTGCCTTTATAGAAATGAGTGTTAAGACGCGCAGGCTATATATAATATATTATGTATTAAAATTAACATAGATATATATGTAGGTATATAACACGATAAATTCATTATGCAGATATCGTAGTTAAGCTCGCCGAGTCATTAATATCGAATCACCATAAACCACGCATAATAGGTAAAACTAGACGTCTGGGTTATCTCATTAATAAACTCAATGAAACGAGTCGGTAATTTATAATGAAAGTTTACGGAGCTGGAAATATTCACGAAACAATAACTAGGTACCTACCTATTTTCCCCGAGTGCGTTTATGTACGGAATAATATATACTTAACAATCGCGTGTATAGGTATAGGACGACCTGTATAATGTGTATAATAGTAAACATAGTTTCTAATAATTATTTTTCTACGCTTTTTTGTTGTTGTACGAAATTGACGTCAGTCAGCGTACAAACACGTTCGAGTGGAGCAGTTACGATACACACATTTAGGTATATAGCTGTCTATGTATTATATTATGCTCAATATAAATCGAGAGTATAGTCTAATTACGATCGTTATTACAACGAACCGCCTATGTCTAGAGATGGTTATAAACGATCATACCTTACCAGCTGATTATTATACATACCTACTCGTGACGTTTTTCAAGACTTTTGATAATATTATACACCGATACGATGGATGGTTTCAATAACGATTTCCAATATACACACATTTAACGATATGCACTCGAGAAATCCACTCGTCGTTGGCTGTCATATAATATGGTATACATATATTATTATGATATGAATTTTTCAATCGACGTGTATTGGTTAGGTTAGCGTCGTGGCTGTAATGCTATATTATTTATTTTATTTTATATTAATATTATAATATGGTTGAAGGTACACACGGAACGTCGAGTGGAGTACATTATACATACCTATATAAACACGACGGGGATTATTAAAGAATAAAGAGTTAATGCAAAACGTACGCAATTATGCGACAAGTGTTATTGTAACGTTTCGATCGAGTTAGTTATAATATTATAACGACGTCTGCACCGCCGTCGAAGCATATTAAAAAAAAAGAATAATAATAATGAACCCATATAATATAATACGGAATAAATAATATTACACATAGTTATATAGATGGCGATGGAAGGGAAGGTATCATATATTTATATGGACGTACTATTATGAATGTATGTGAAACGAAAATGATTGATATACATATTTTTACTGCCAAGAATGACAATAATTATGAATATTGACTACGCGTATTTTTAAAGTGTATACTCGAGTTAGGTATATGTATATAATAATAATACTGTCGGTATGTATATAATATGTTTATGTATATTATATACACAATCATTATAATATATTACATGAACGCAAACAATAAATATCTCTACCACTAGATCCTTTTCCTAAAGATTTTTCCCCGTCGCAGCCCCGCAAAGTATAATATTATAGATTCTATATAATATATAGAATGTCGACGTCTGACACTGCCTTATGGGTGTAACGGTTCGAAGGGCGAAGAGGGGTAGTTGAATTGATTTTTGTGGTCAACAAATATTTATTATTTTGATGCTTTATATGCGACGACATTATACAGGATGGAAGTACAAGGAAGTTGCCGGAATTGAAAAGGATGTATAATAATAATATTTTATAGCATATGATTATTTTATTCCTAGCTAGCACATAGTCAATACTGCTCTTTTGATATTTCTATTCATGTATGATATTACTATGCTGCTCTGCAATTTGAAGGGTTCTACTACCAGTTAGAATAAGGCGTGTTACCGCCTACTTCAAAAGATTATAGGTGGATACATACCGCGGAGCGAGGTTAATTTTTGGCTTAAACGGAATGTTGACCGGAATGGTCCAATTAGAGTTGGCTTTTGGAAAAACTATTTAAGCGGATTGTGCCGAAACGTTTCAAACGGATACACAAATCGGATCGGATAACGTGGCATTATAATTATATATATATATATTGCATAATAATGTAGTGGGAAAATACTAGTTTGAATTCTCTGCAGTTACTGGTCCGGTTGACGGGTTTTTTTTTCTTCCTCCCCGTCCCTAAAAGGAAATAGCTGCACATAAATAACAAAGATTTGAATCAAGGGTAGTATAATAAATTATACAATTTTAGCCAAACGTGGTGCAGCGTGGTTAATGATCGAACGAATTTGGTACTGCTGAGATCCTATATATAATTTTTGAATCCGTTTTTGGACGAATATCGTTTTAAAATTTCTCAGGCCGTTTAAAATAGTTCTTCGTGTTGGTACATAATAATATACCTACACTGTTTTATTTATTTTTTATTTATTTTTTATATATTATGTTCGAACAATATATTCCCCGTTATAGGTTATACGTTAACTAAAAATCTATACATATTGCCGTACATCTATATAGTTCCTTTAAATAGAGAAAAAAAAGGGATTGTGTGAAAGACCTCGAGCTGACAACGACCATAATATATACCGCCACGAGGACGAGACGAGATCGATAATTTTGCTGCACGTTCGGTGGTATGAGGCTTTACAACAAGAGTATTGAGTATAGTACCTACCTACCTACCTTTATATAATATATTATTGTATGTGCCTAATGAATAATGATATAATATAATATAATGTTATGAAAACGTGATAATGTATATTTGTGATTGATAATAAATACTATGTGTATTGTATAATGTATATATATTAGGCACGAGTGATTTGAGAGAAAGAGAAAAAAACATATTGGTACAGATCATAATTATTACAGACAACATTTTTCGTTTAGCC